GGCGAAAACTCTCTGTAACAATCATTCCTCAGGCTGGGTTACAGCAAGAAATCTAAAAAGTCAAGACTTGGAAAAGAAAGGAACTCAAAAGCAGGAAAACACAATGCCGAGAACGTTAATAAAACATGTTCCAAAAAGCAATGAAAAGTGAAATGCTAATCTTTTACTTTCCTAGCAAACAGTCTACGTTAGGGAACAACTGTGTGGAGCCAGCAGCGAGCCCACCTCCCGCAGCAGCTGCCTTCCTGCAGGCTGCTCGGCCGGCGGCGCAGCACCTCTTCCCCCCGTGCACCAGAGCCGCACTTCTTGGGCAGCGTCCCCGGCAGAGTCCTGCGAGGTCTGCGGGATCAATGCTACCGAGGTGCTCCTGGGAATGTTTCAGAGGGACAACCCAGATACTGCGTCTAGCAGGTGCCAATCTACGTGCATGGATCTGAAGTGCTGGAGAATCACTCACCTACGCCTCCCAAACGAGCGGCACTGCTACGGAAACCCCAAACTCACCTTCCAGGGTCTCTCAGCATTTCAAAGTGCAATGTGATGGCAAACTCCGTTACTTCCTTCAGTTCGGATCGGTCTTCTCACAGACACAGCAGCACCATCCATTTTGTTCCTTGGCGAAATCACGAAACGCAGATACTTCTGCTTTAAGATTTTCTGAAAAGCTGACATTTTACCAGTCAGAAATTAGAAAGACAGTTATACCTTTGCAAACCCAGAGTAACTACACCCAGCAAAACTGGATGTATTCCCTACTTACTCATTGTAATCCCAAACATGCAGATCAAGCTTATCTATTGAAATGCCAGGCGTAAGTTATTCATTAACTAAAACCATTCTGTAATTTTATTGATATATTTTGTGGAGTTCACATATTTTTGTACAGCAAACATAACACTGTAGGCCACAAGAAGCTGCAGCACTATTGTTTAATAGCAGCAAGGTATATTTTAGAATCAGGGTATGTGGACAATAAATAGTCTGTTTCTTTGGATGTGAATGTTTAAAATGAAGTTCTGCTGCAGCTTCATAATGTGATTGCTATTTTACAGAGCTTATACACAAAAATATATATGCAATCTTTTTGTCTATATTTTATACAAATACAACAGTAGTTTGTGAATACATTTTAAAGTACATATACATGATAAGCAACTCGATTTCCCATATCACAGGATAGCAAATTTTAAATGCAAGAAACATATACAAATTCAGTCTGGAATGCAGGGTTTTCTGTGTTCTTTTTTTTTTCTCTATTTTTGACTCAAAACTTTTATCATTAAAACATTTTAGCACAAAAGTCCAAACAATTCTTCCACTAGCTAAAAATAAAATTTCAGCAATCTGAGTCAGGTCTGGCTGTGTCATCATTCCCCAATATACTCTTCCCAGTTTTTGTCTATATTCAGAGGCTTCTAGTAATATATAGTATGTTCTTCACTGCACACCATATAGAAAGCCCACATTTAATTTTAACTAGCAGTCACCTATTTTTGTGAACAAGAGCTGGGCTTGTCAGCGTTTAAATTTGCATGTCCAAAATTTTACTTTTGCAAGTGCTTATGAATACATTGTGGTGTTGCACAAAGTTCATTAATGACAAATTAAGTCACAGTATAAAAATATATCATACAACTATAGGTCTAGTATAGTCCTTTTTTTCTATGGGTAAAAATACATCTGAATGAGACAGGGAGGTTTGTAGCACCATGAGAGGAGTTGTATCCCAAGTTACATTAGCAGCATGATCCAATATAACAATATTGCAGGAGTGTTTCTGAGGAGATAAACATTCACTCTGGTTCAACTGTACCACTGAAGCTTATACTGAAAAGTGTTTAATATGATTAGCAATAGTTCTGTGTCACTTCCAGGGCTAGATAACTGTTATCAAAAGACACTGCCTTCCAACAAAAGTAAGACACCCTTCTCGCATAAAAGCTTTGGGACTATCCAAACACATTTTGGACTACTGTGGCGTTACCGGTACGCTGAGCGTGATGCTAAGCAGGCTGTGGTTTTAACTGTACACTGGGAGGAGGCAGGATGGGCAGCTAAGCCTACACGGTTTACTACATACCAGAGAAGTACATTTATTTCAGAGGCTTATCTCTAGACTGAGAAGAATACAGGATGAGCTGCTAAACCAGTGTATGAGACAGACAACCAAGGATGCAATCCTGCTCCCCTCGACTTTTACAGATGCAGGATCAGGCCCTAAGTTAACTCCAGACAGCAGCATAGCGATGACAGGAAATGATAAAAAAAATCTGTATTAAAATACTGCATGTTAAATGTTTTTGCCATAGTTTACCATCCAGAACTCCAGAGGACACAGTTTGCAACTGGTGAGGACAAACTCCTAACTTTTTTTGACTGGTATTCAAAATGGCAGCAGAAGACAGTGTAGTTTGAAACATGTAAACCTAGTAAAAACCATTGTAAAACCCTTACGAAAGACACACTGGTTCTGTGCAATATAGCAAATTGATAAGAAAACACTGTAAAAATGTACCTGTTTAAAATTACAATGTCTACCATTTTGTACACAAAGCATTATACCAAAGGCCTACATATATGTAATCTAATGGCACTTGAAACAAATTATAATATAAGGTTTTATAATAAAAAGCATAACCTGTAAGAAATTTTCTTAAAAGGTTTAGGTTTTCTTTTTGAAAGTGCTATATCTTGTAATATGTGTAACATAGAGGTTGACCAAGCTTTATTTTAAAAAATATTGGCCTATAATACATGTTTAGCTCACTAGGCAAATGATCCTGAAAATATGTACTCTTAACATTCATTATTAGCTTAATAAAGCAATCAGCTCTGGCTCATGTTTCAGTCAGTATATGGTTTTTAAAAACCGCTACTGCCAAATTAACAATAAATCACTCTATCCCACAATTTACTACTAAATAAAGCACAAGCAACAAGTACACAAAAATATATATATTTAAAAAAAAAAACAAACCAAACACCTTACTAGAAGTTGCACAAAGAGTGGTGCATGATCAGCCAGCCCTCCCCCCTCCCGCCGAGAATCCTTGTGAAATCGAGAAAACAGGGTTTAAAAACTGACGTTTCAGTAGTGGCCAATATCGACTCTGCCTAAGCGACATTCAGAAGCGCTCCGGCGGCGGTGGCATTGCTTACGGTGTCAGTCTGCTTCCACGTTACCGTACATCCTAGCTCAGCGGCAAACGCGCTCGGCGCAGCCACCCACAGAAACCCTGCCCGAATGAGGTTCAATATCTTGTCTGAGGTCCCTATTTCTCAAGTGAAATGTACGTCTAACTCCAAAGTGAAATGTCAATCCCTTTTCAGGAAGCTAAGGCACGAACACAGTAGTAAGGAGTCTGGCTATGCGCTAAGAAATGGGTGTTGGCAAAGTGTCTGGTGGGTTTCCATTTGTTAATCGAGTTTAGTTGGCAACTGAGACTGAGGAAACAGTCGCTGCGGATTGGAAACGCGTGCGCCAGAGGGACGCTGAGCACTCGCAGCTCTCCTCTGCCGCAGGGCGAGCTGCGGATGCTTGGCTCCACGCGGCGCACGGCCCACTGGACGAATCGAGCCCATTTATCTCCGTCTGAGATCGATTTAAAAGATTGAGAATAAACACGAGTTCTTCCTAAATGTGTTGCAGTTGCTGAGTTAAACTAGTGTTACATTCGGTTGCATTCGCCTTGTGCTCTGTTCATCTATGTTTTTCTTTCCTTTAGAAAGGTGACGAGAAAAAAAGCAATATTGAACAAATCATTCAACTGAAGATGTTAAGTAAGCGAGCAATCTGTTTCACAGAAACCAGAGGAAGCAGTCATGAAGCAGAGCTAAAAGCCCACTTTGAGATAACGTGCTCCTAAACCCAAAATCTAGGAGTAGTTTGCAGAATTTCAGAAGGTATTTTCCTTATTAATACATCCTTATTTTAATGCCTTTGGAACACAAACACATTATAAAAATGTTATCTTTCAGTAATAAAATTTAAATACACATATGTATAAAATAGTAAAACTACACCTGCATATTGCTCCTAGAGTTAAAAAAAAAGTAGGAGCTACTGATAAAACATCCGGAGCACGAGCTCCTTAAATGGGAGCAACTTTTGTTTCTGTGAAGTATATTTAGTTTAACCACTTAAAACCTTGTACGAAACCTCATTATTGTTTGAGACATATTAATGTACGTGATTTCTATTTTTTAATTCCTTGTACAAAAATGACAAGGAAAAGAATGTTATTGTTGAATTACAGCAAATACAGTTTGCTTTCATGCATCACAGGGTTGGGTGTTGTTTTTTTTTTCCTCTTTTGGTTATTAGGGGTTGGGGAATAGAATATATTGCATTAGGTAAAAGTGGTGTAAGCAATATGCTTTTACTTCACTCCTAAGAGTCCTGTCTTTAAATCTTGGCAACGGGCAAAAAGTCCCTAACCAAGTACCCAGGTGTAGAAAGTGTGATTAACATCTAACTTGTTGCTTAGGAGGACATAACACACCATGTAACACAACTGAAAAGATCATTCCAATAAAAAAAAAAAAAAACCAAACCAAAACCTGGTATTTGCAAATTTACATTCACTCTCTGACTGCACGCTAGCTTTGAACTGAAAATAGATACACACTTTCTGGCTGGACTCGATCCACCCTTCGGCGGTGGCAGCTGGGAGAAGACTGATGCCTACAAATGTGAACACGCTACTGGAAGATTCCTATGCAGTACTCTTTCTATGCTACTAAAGAGAAAAAAACAGCAAGTTAAGAATTAAAACAAAAACTGCGACAAAATATTCTGCATTACTAAATACAACACTTTTATATTTCAAGATCAGCCATTCATTTCGCCTGTTTCCCTCTACCAGAGTCATGAAAGCACAACAACACAGTTCCAAATTCAACTTGAAACATTTGTCATTTAGGCAAGCAGAGATTCTCTGTCGAAATTCTGTTCAGCCATGATTTTAGAGAATTACGCTAAATTTTTTTCTTCCGTTATCCGTAACAGGCCACAGAAATTTAAGCCAGAAAATGGCAAAATTCTTAACACCTTTTATAATGACTTCAATACAAGTCAAAATGCTATATATATGTACATGTGTATATATGGACTTCCATATATACACACACAAGCTTTCAGAAAAATCTGAATTCTATATTCATTTTAAAAAATTTAGATTTGTCATTACAGAACAGATCAGATGTGTCACCGTCCGGGAAGAGGATCTGTTTGGAAAGGGACTGGAGAGTGTTTTTCCCAAATCTTCAGGAACCTTTGTGATACGTATTTTAACTGGATGCTTTGCAAGTACTAATATATATTAAAAGGTAAAAGTGGTCGTCCTACCACTGACATCAATAAAACAGAATAGCTGGCATGGTTGAAAAAGTTTTAAAAAAAGGGATGAGTGTTGAGAGTTTGCTTGGGATGACTTTCTACTGAACATTTTAAATGCGTCAATTGGCAGTGAAAATGAAAACAATACAATGAGACTGTTTTTTTAAAAAAAAAAAACAACAAAGTAAACACAGCTGAGAATAAACACTTTCAAAACATTTTAAAAAAGTTAATTTAAATTTCTTACTGGCTTCATGAGATTGGTACTGTACAAAAGCAGAGAATTTATAATGTCTTGTAGTAGGCACTAAGTTAAAAATGGTCACCTAAGGCATTTCTACAAATAGACAGTAACAAGCCAGCTTTGTACATCCTACTGGAAAGCTTGATGAAATCGCGGTAGGGTGGTGGTTGTGCTTAGACTGCTTGTGAAAGCTGCTGACAACGAGTGCAGAGACCCAAGACCTATACTATTGCTAGGATCTTGCGGATCCTGGGTTTGTGGCGGAAGCTGAGTCATAGAAGAATGTGCCTCCTCTTGCGTGTAACTCATTCCGAGGTTTCCCACCGAAACAGAAGGATTATAGGGAGGGCCATTTACAGGTATGAAGTTGAACAGCTGAGAAAAGTCCAATGATGGGGTGTTTAGAGGTTCGCTAATAGGAACGGAGCCCTTGGAAAGGGAAACCTCCCCAGACCCATCATCTAGTGGCCCTACTTGTGGATCCAGCCCTAGTTTTGACGAAGATGCTTGAGAATCCTGGGATGAAGAAGGCATACCACTTTGCAACTCCATTAAGTAACTTTCGATTTCCCCTTTCAATGGCTGTTCTTTTTCAGGCATAGAAATTGCGTATGAGGTAGTACCGAGCGGATATTTCAACGATAGCTGGTGAGAAGGGTGGACAGACTCCATATCTATTGGACAAGGCATTCCCAATGGTAATGACGTGGCAACCATTTGGTGTGCAGATGCAGAACTCTGCATGGACTGAATCTGAGTGTTGTAGAGATTTAATTGCAAAGTGTTTGTAAATGGCTTTGATGTCAGTTCACTGGAAGGTAAAGACATCACTGGAAGCAGCTCATCCTTAATAGGCACAGAAACATTGCAGGTAAAGGGATCTAGAAGGTCCATGGGCTCTGTTTTGACCTTCAAAAGTTCTTGGTTGTGACTTTTCTTCATGTGGCGCGTGAGGTGATCCTTCCGCCCGAATCTCTGTGCACAGTACTGACAGAGGAAGTCCTTTCTTCCAGTGTGCACTACCATGTGTCTACGGACATCCTTTCGGGTGTAGAACCGACGATCACAGTGTTCACACTGGTGTTTTTTCTCCTTCACTCCACCCGATGACTTGCCTGCGTGAGTTTTTAGGTGCTCCAGCAGCACTCCTGTGCTTTCAAAAGTCTGCAAACATACCTTACAGGTGAGGTCACCGCTTGTTGCGGCATGCAAAGCCAAGTGACGTTTGAACCCAAGCTTGGTATTGTAGTTCTTTCCACATTCTTCACACTTAAAGGCCTCTTTGTTGGGATTGTGTGTATGTAGGTGATTCTTTAGGTGATCTTTTCGGTGAAACATTTTCTCACAATAATTACACTTGTGGGTTTTCTCAGGAGAATGAGTAGCCATATGCCTTTAAACACAGATATATTCTGTAAGTAATTATTTTGATCAAAAAACACACGTGCTCATTTTTTAATGGCAGCTAAATACTACACTAAGGGCTGCTTTGCAACAGAACCTTTTAACTGAAAGCATGACACTACAAAGACAGTTTGACAAATTTAAATATAGCAAAATGCGAGCCATTTCTCTTAAATCGACACTTTAGTTTGGGTGGGTTTTAGCTACTGTAACAGGGGTATATGGGCAAGTATGAAAGTACTCGTGTAAAAGTCCATAGCCAAAAAATTTTCAGTCCATATTCTTTTTTCTCGTGACAATTCCTTATACAAATGAAAATTCTACGCTCATTTAAAAAGAAAACAAAACAACAAACAAACAAACAGAAAACAAAAGCAGAAAACAAATTAAGAAACAAAATCAAAGACATTAGCTTGCAAACTTAGGTAATTTAGAATTCTAGAAACAATCCAATGGCTACTTTAATTAACACATCCTCTCTGCAATCAGCTGAAGGTGTACACAAATATATACTTTTACACGGCTTAACACGGCCAACATAAAATAGATAATATAATCTGAAAGATAAATAGAGTTTAATACCTTAGTAATTTGTACTTAGAAACAAAGGCCTTGGTGCAGTCTTGTTGTGTGCACTTGTAGGGCCTCTCTCCTGTGTGAGAGTATGAGTGAACCTTTAATTTCTCAACACTGTTAAAGGCCTTGTCACACAGTTGGCAAGGAAAGTTTTTTCTTGGTTTGGTTTCACCACGCTTACGTTTCCCTGAAGGGACTTTCTGGGTATCTCTTACTTCTGACAAATCACCAGGAATGACAGTGGCCATCGCAGCCTAAACCAGGCCTTCTTGTTGGACACTTGGGAATTGCCCAACTCCACTAAATGATTTAGCTTTAGATGGCTTCTCAAGTTTCATGTGGTCGTAAAAGAAAGCAAAAGGGGACTGGAAAAAAAAAATAAGAAACAACTAGTTTGTAACTAAACTTAGATTTTGAAGTTTACTTGCTATGTGATGCTTCTGAATAAAACTTAAAAATAAAATTAGGTTCAGCTGGTCTAATGTAATACCTGTAGGTTTTTTTACACTATTTGCTGTAACTCTTAAAATGCATTGCTCAGGATGAACAGATCCACATATGCCCTGAAATCACACCTCTCCACTCTCCCTGTGGGCACTGATGGAGACCAGCAAAGGTTCCCTCAGACCGCGGGAGGCATCAGGCAAAGAGCCCATCTACCCAAATGGCTTTTGGCAGCTTCGCATTTCAAAGGGGCTGAAGCCCTGCCCGTGATGTTTGCGCAGGCACACACACGCATGCACACACAGTTACCAAAGTGAAAATCCATGAGCCTGGAAATGTGTGAAACCCTGCACGAGAGGCTGGGAGGGCAAAGCTCACGTTCTCGCGCGAACCTCCTCGCCGTGATGGCTGCACATCTAACCACCTACTCCAGCAAAACCTACGCGCTGTCGGTGACTGCTAACGCCAGGTGAAACCGTCCCGTAAACTTACCCCCTGCTAACAGAGACTGGACGTACCAACGACAGAAAGCCCACGGGTTAGGGACAGATCAGCTAGATTAGGGTTTTATTAGCCCAGCGCTGGAGCCCCCCATGCTCCCCACGCTATCCTGCAAGACGTGGGGGCTGTAAGTGGCGAGATTTGGGCCACCTCAGGACAGCGGCCCTTAGTCCTGCCGGGGCATGGCGCACCGCAAATCAAACCAGAGGCTTTCAGCTAAGGGAGGTGTGTGACGCTCGCGTCCGTCTCGCGAGCGAACAGCTCTAAACTCATCGTCTGGTAACGTACAGTAGCAACTGGGTGTCTGCCATTACAGGGGATGCACCGGCCCTCCTTTGTCAGGGGTGGCCGGCGGCGTTTTTTCATCACTGGAGCGCAATTGCTACTTTAGATACCAAAATCCAGCGCTACTCGTTGCAGGAAGGGCCGGGGGTGAGGAGGAGGATGGCAGGAGGACGGCACTCAATACTACTGTTGGGCAGGGCGGGAAAGCCCCCAAATTTGGCCTTTCTCCCTCAAAAGCAGCAAAACTCCCCCGGCCCGGGGTGTCGCATCTCACAGCTGCCGTCCCTCCAGCCTGTGACGGGGCAGCTGCATGAGGGGCAGCGGGGCCCGCCGGCACCGGGGCAGTGGCCAGGCCGGGGGGTGGAGA